GCCTGACCCCTCCCTCGCGCCCCTCCCGAGTTCCCGCCTCCTCGCCCGCGCGAAGGTTCCGGGATCGATTAGGGAAAAAAAACGCGTCCTGCCCCCAGGGCTTTGCCCCGAGGCTTCCCAACCCGGAGCCCGGTTCAAAGGGAGCGGAATAATCCCCGTGCCCTCGTTTCTCTCTCTTTAAAACAACAAAAGCACTGCGTCTGAGCTTTGTTTTATAAGAGCCATTGGATATCCAAGAGATTGTTCAAATACATATATCCATATATCGCTCTAAAATACAAAGCTGTTTTTATTAAAGCACACGGAAGGCCTTTCCTGTTTGCGTGTTGTGTTGGCAACTATCAAAGATTTGACTAGTAAGTGGACCCCTGAAATAGGAGTGGATTCAGACTTCATAGAACAAGTTTTTCTCTTCCTAGGTCCCATAAGTCATACAATGTTTTATAAAAGAAAGCCTTTTTGCCTGACTTGTTTTTAAAGATTCACTTATTGCCAATGTGAACTTCTGTTTTCCCATCTCCCATAAATTACCATTGCTTACTTTACAGCGTCCTTGTGACAGTGAACATTTTTAAATCCCTTCAACAACCCTGTAGATGTTATTGTAATTCCCATTTTACAGACTGGGAAAAAAAATGAAGTGTAAAGAAACGGTGATTTGCCCACAATGGTAACTGGCAAAGTCCCAGTGGAGCTGGTGTAGGGTTTCCTTATAACCACCTGGCTATGCTGGCACGCCTCCTTTTATTGCCATTCCCGGGATTGCTCTTCCTAGGTGTTTCGTTTCATTTTTTAGGAATCCAAAGTTTGTGGCAACCCTACGTGAAGCAAGCCTGTTAGTGCCATTTTTCCAACAGCTTGTGTCTTTGTTCACATTTTGGTAATTCTCACAATGGTTCACACTTTTTCATTATTTTTTCTATCTGTGATCAGTGGTCTTTGATGTTACTTTTGTACTTGTTTTGGAGAGCCAGAAACTCTGCTCATAAAAAACAGTCTACTTCACAGTTGTGTGATCTCTGACTGTTCCATGGCCTGGCTGTTCCCCAGTCTCTGTCCCTTTCCTCAGGCCTCCCTATTCCCTGAGAAGCAACAATATTGAAATGAGGCCAATTAATAATCCAACAATATTGAAATGAGGCCAATTAATAATCCTCTACGTGTTCAACGAGGAAGAGTCCTACATCTCTCAAATCAAATCAAATCAAAAGCTAGAAGTGTTTAAGCTTAGTGAGGAAGGCAAGTGGAAAGCCAAGAAAGGCCAAAAGGTAGGCCTCTTGCACCAGTAAGTTAGCCAAGTTGTGAATCAAAGGAAAAGTTTCAGGTTCTGGTTTTATTTTGGTTTTTTGAGACAGGGTGCTGCTTTGTTGCCTGGGCTAGAGGGCAATGGCATTGTCACAGATCACAGCAACCTCAGACTCCTGGGCTCAAATGTTGCTCCTATCTCATCCTCTCCGGTAGCTAAGATTACAGGGATGAACCACCATCCCCAGCAAAAAGTTCTTGAAGGAAATTAAAAATGCTCCTTCAGTGAAAAGAAAGCAAAACAGCATTGAAAACTGAGCGAGGTGAGAGGAAGCTACAGAAGAAAAGTTGGAAGCTGGCAGAGATTGGTTCTTGAGGTTCAAGGAAAGAAAAGTAGAAGCTGAAGCAGCAAGTGCTGATGCAGAAGCTGTAGCAAGCTCCACAGAAGATCTAGCTAACATCATGGATGAAGGTAGCTGCGCTCAATAGCCAGTTCTCAATGTAGATGAAACAGCTTTTTATTGGAAGAAGATCCCATGTAGGACTTTCATAGCTAGAGAGGAGAAGTCAATTCTTGGCTCAAAGCTTCAAAGAACAGACTAACTTGTTAGAGGCTAATATAGCTGGTGACTTTAAGTTGAAGCCAGTGCTTATTTGCTATTCCAAAAATCTTAGGGCCCTTAAGAATTATGCTAAATAGACCCTTCCTCTGTTCTATAAATGGAACAACAAAGCAAGTCTGGATGATGTCATATCTGTTTACAGATGGTTTATTGAAAATGTTAAGCCCATTGTTGCAATGTATTGCTCAGAAAAAAAGATTCCTTAGCCAGGCGTTGTGGCAGGTGCCTGTAGTCCCAGCTACTTGGGAGGCTAAGGTAAGAGAATCACTTAAGCCCAAGAGTTTGAGGTTGCTGTGAGTTGTGATGCCACGGTACTCTACCAAGGGCAACATAGTGAGACTCTGTCTTGAAAAAAAACAAAAAAGAAAAGAAAGAAAGATTTCTTTCAAGATATTACAGCTTACCGACAGTATCTGGTCACCCAAGAACTCTGAAAGAGATGTACAAGAAGATGAATGTTGTTTTCCTGCTTGCTAACACGACCTCCATTCTGCAGCCCATGGATCGGGGAGTCATTTTGACTTTTAAGTTTTGTTATTTAAGAAATACATTTCCTAAGACTATAGCTCCCACAGATAATGAGCAAAGTAAATTGAAAATGTTCTGGAAAAGATTCATCATTGTAGATGCTAGTAAGATCATTCGTGGTTTGTGTAGGTTAAAATGGCAACATTAATGGGAGGTTGGAAAAATTTTACTCCAACCTTCATGAATTACTTTGAGGGCTTCAAGAAGGTAATGAAGGAAGCAACTGCAAAGGTGGTGGGAATCACAAGAGAACGAAAAGTGTAGGCTGAAGATGGGACTGCAATCTCATGATCAAACTTAACAGGTGGAGAGTTGCTTCTTAGGATAGAGGAAGGAAAAGGAGATGGAATCTACTCCTGGCGAAGATGCTGTGAACATTGTTGAAATGACAATGAAGGATTTAGAATAGTATATACACTTAGTTGATAAAGCAGCAACACCAATTTGAAAGTAGCTCTACTGTGCATAAAATGCTATCAAACAGCATTGCATGCTACAGCAAAATCTATCAAGAAAGGAAAAGTCAATTGTTGCAACAAACTTTCTGATTTTGAGAAATTACGACAGCCACCCCAGCCTTCAGGTGCAACTATCCTGATCAGTCAGCAGCCATTAACGTCAAAGCAAGATCCGCCATCAACCAAAAGATTACGACTCTCTGAAAGCTGAGATTATCGTTAGCATTTTTTAGCAATAAAGTATTTTTAATTAAGGTTTGTGCATTTTAGACATAATGCTATTGCACACTTAATAGACTACAGTGTAATGTAAACATAACTTTTATATGCACTAGGAAACCAAAACTTTGCATGACTCTAGCTTTATTGCAGTCACGGTCTGGATACAATATCTGTGATGTATGCCTGTAATTAAAAAAACAAGTTTTGTCCCCTCCCCCATTTCGTTCTTTGACCAAGGACAGATTTCACTGCAACTGAGATACTCACTCTTAATACCATCCCATCTTGCCTCCTCTCATTGTCTCTGGTCCTCCACCACACTGGGAATTGCTTATGCATCTTTGCAGCAAGATGACTCATGCCAACAGCGTACAGTACTACTTAGTATTCTTACAACACCTTTTTCTGACCAGTTTTGGGTACTTCAGAGCACCGTCTCATTCATCTTCTCAGTGACTTAAAGAGGCAGATAATGTTTTTCAACATTTAAGGAAACTAAGGCACAAAAAGGGCAAGTGACCTTGGCCAGAGCCTTATCCAGCAAGTCAGGTGGGGCCTGAATGAGAATGCAGTTTCACTGGACCTTTTTCTCCCATACTTTGATTCTCCAAGGCCATTCTGTCTTTGGTGCAAAAGAGTCTGCAATTACTGCTATAATTTTCCTGTCCATCTGCATACACAGAGGAAAAAATAAATAACAGCACTTTAAGGTTTTCTCTTTTTGATTCCTTTGCATTCTCCTCTTTCATTTCACTACTTATTACTTCTTGACATCTTATCTCCTGCCCACTCTCTGGGGAAAAAAATGACTTTTTAAAAAATCAATGAATAACTAGCAGGAAATGTTCCACATTAGCATCAGTGGTTACTGGATATAACATAGAAAGGGAATCAAGAGCTATTGACTTTATATGGTGCTATCATTAGGAATGAAAAAAATCTAAAGCGAATCTTTTAAGATCATCATAGTAGGTATTAGGAAATCTAGTACCAGTTAGTCCAGCTATAGTATTTGAGTTTTTGACTGGCTGCTACTGGGAAGTCTATAAGTTGATCATATGCTGTACTGGATTGCTTTTAACTCTGAATCTTTTGATATTACAAGATTCATTAGTACAAATCATTTTTTTTTCATTGTTGGTGATTCATCGAGGGTACAAAGAACCAGGTTAAACTGATTGCATGTGTTACGTAAAGTCCCTCGTATAATTGTGTCCCACCTGCAAAAGGTGTGTCACACACTGTGACCTCCCACCTCCCTCTCTCTGCTCTTCCATTCCCCCACTCCCCTCCCTCCTTCCCTCTCTCTACTCTCCCCTTCCCCCACCTGCCACCGTGTACTAGGCCATCAACTGTCCTCATATGAGAATTGAGTACATAGGATTCTTGCTTCTCCATTCTTGTGATGCTTTACTAGGAATAATGTGTTCCACTTCCATCCAGGGTAATACAAAGGATGTAAAGTCTCCATCCTTTTTAGTACTCCATGGTATACATATACCACAGCTTGTTAATCCGTTCCTGGATTGGTGAGCATTTAGGCTGTTGCCACATTTTTGGCAATTGTAAATTGAGCTGCGATAAACAGTCTAGTGCAAGTGTGCTTATGGTAAAAGGATTTTTTTCCTTCTGGGTGGATACCTAGTAATGGGATTGCAGGATCAAA